TTTATAGCTTTGTACAAGTTCCTTAATATTGATTTGCCAAAATTTCTTCTACTTTGATCCAATATGGCTTTAAATAGTCACATTTTGATTACTCATTATTCAAACTTTCTTAAACTAATCTATATATTATGTTGTTGATTTATGTCAATGATCTTGTCCTTCAAATTAATAATACAACTACTATCCAACATTTTTCCCATCAAGGGTTTAGGGAATCTCAAATACTTCCTCAAGTCATTTCAACTTGATGCCCCACTAGTATTTACCTATGCTAATGAAAATATGTCTTGGATATTATAATGGAATTTGGGTTTCTTAGTGATAAATTAATCTCACACCTTTAATAGAAAATTATTCGGTTGACATTAGTAGATGACCCATTGCTCAATTTTCCTAACAAATACTATCACTTTATTAAACATCTGATCTAACTTTCTTTCGTACAATATAAATTATCCTACATTGTCCATTGTGTCACAATTCATGCAAAACCCTGAACAAAGTATCTTTTGTGTTGTGACAATAACCTTTGTCTTTATGGATGGGGACACTCTGATTGAGCAAGTTTACATCTGATTTACAAGTCTATCCATGGTTGGTAAATTCAACTTGACAACTTCGTTGATTTCCTAAAACCAAGAAATAACACATTGTCTCGATATCCTTTCTTGACGCTCAATATTACACTATGTCTAATATCAAAGTGAATTAAAGTGGTGGAAAGACATTCTCTCTAACCTTGACATGTCCCTCATTATACCTATTGGGCTCTATAAAAGTGACTAAATAAATAAAAAATTTACTTCCTTAATACTACAAAGTTAAATAACTATCACTAAAACAATAAAATAAATTAATACCAAATTTTCTTCCTTGATTTTTTCGTATTGCTTTAAAGAAATACTATTTCTACCATAAGGTAATGATTTAGGTTAGAAATCAACATGAATATTATAAAATTGACTTATTATTTAATACAAAAAAGACAACAAAATATGTCATTCAATGAATTCAACACTTATCATAACATATGTAAAGTAAAAAAATATGCATGTTATTTCAACTTTTTTTTTATATATATATATATATATATATATATATATATATATATATATTATTTTGATACATTCATATAAGTTTCATATCACTTAAAAATTGATATAAATAATATTTTATATATATCTTCTTTTCTTCAACTCACTAAAATCTCTTCTAAGATAAAATTGTAACGCATCGAGTTTTAAGTGAACAATATCACAAATATAATAAAAGGCTCTAATTATATTATCACAATAGGTAGAAAATCATATTATCTTTGCGTAAAATTGCTTTAACTTTTTTATAATAAAAACCTAACATATATTTAAATTATATATATATATATATATATATATATATTTTTTATTCTAAAAAATTAGGAAAATATTATTATTTTATTTAATAAGAAAAATATACTTATATATTTATTCTAACGATAATAATATATATATATATATATATATAGTAATATAATTTTGTTATTTATAAAAAAATCTATCAAAAAGTGTAAGGAAGGCAGTTGTTATATTTATTGATATTTTTATAATAATAAAAAATTACTTTAATTTTGAGAATAAGTATATATATATATATATATATATATATTAATTTTATCTTACATTACACAAAAAATAAGTATAATAACTTCATCATCGTATAAGATTTTACTTTATAATAAAACATGTTTTATAAATAATAAAATGATTAAAAATCGCCTAATTAGGAAATTGAATGGAAAAGATTCAATGTGGCACTCGCACTCACTTTTTCCACGTCCAAACAAGGTCAGGGTCAAACACAGCTTTTATGGCTTCTTATACCACTTTTTTTTATTTAATATTTTATTTGTTGGTGACGGCAACAAATATAGAGATAGAAAAAAAGTAGCGGATTTTGTTTATTTAATATTTGGCCTAGTAGAAAGAAATAATCAATGAAAAAAATGGAAAATATAATAGAATAAGATTTATTTATTATTTTAAAAATACTTTTAAAATTTTAAATATTAAAAATTTATTTAATAATTGTTTTTAAATTATTTTTATTTTTTAGTTTTAAAAATAAAAAATTAAAACTGATAAAAAATAATTGTATTCTCATTTCTTTATTAATGGCATCATATCTTATTAATAATTATACTATATAATTCATTTTTCTAATAAAGTTATTAATTTATTTTTCAATTTCTATCGTTGTCGCTTTTTATCCAAAACAGTTTTTGTAATAAGATTTATTTAATAATTTTTTTCAACTTATTTTCATTTTTTTAAACTAATCTTTAAAACTATTTTTATAAATTAAAAAAACAAAATTAAATCAAACAAGTTTTAACTTTTTCTTTTATTTTTCATATAATATATGAATTTCAGGATATTGAAATATAAATTTGCCGTTCCAATTTTACTAAATATTAAGAACTACATAAAATATTTTTATTTTATTTTTTTAATATTAATTAATAACTAATTATGTATAATTATTAACTACAGATAAAATAAAATATTGTTATTTTTATTTTATTTTATTTTTTAAATTAATTAATAATTAATTATGTAATGTAGATAGAAAACTCTACATAGTAATATAAATTATATTAATATATTAAGTTGTGAATACATTTTATATTATAGTATGGATTGTGAGCTAATAATCATAATTTTATTTTAATTTCCAATGTTATTTAGTCATACCCTTTTAAAAAGTTATTTTAAAAATATTTTCTCATAGAAATATCACCCATGTAGACTATTAATATATATAAATAGAAAGACCATAAATGTAGAAGAACTTTGGGTATGCTATCCACGTATATTTACTTCAATTGGATGCTAGATTTAAAAAAAAAAAACGTCATATGCTACCCAAAGTTCTTTTGTTTACTTATTTAAAAGTATTCATTATATGCATGGCTGAAGTGGTTGTTTAGGTTAACCCTAGCGAAAGCCTAGAAAGAACTCAATCTCTCTTTTCTTATTCTCACGTTGAATTTATGTTTCCTCTTCTCTTCCTCTTTCCCTAAATTCTGTTCCATGTATGTTTAGGGGCCATCAGTTTCTTGGAATTTGCAGTGATGTTATGTTCAGACAAGCAATCGTGTTTGTGCACTTCGTATATTTAATGTTACAAATGTGTCAGTGTCGTTGTTTCGTTGTTGTGTAATGAAATTCATAATGATATAGAAACAATGTTTATAAGATACCTTGCTTTTGAAATTGTTGCTTGTAATGAATGATTTTATGTTTAAAAAGGTTTGAGTGGATTAAATGAAGAATATATAAATTATTTTTAATTTTTACTATTAAACGGTACGAGACTATAAGTGTATTGAAAAATAATTTATCAATTAAAATAAGAGATAGGAGTGGAAAATACCTATATTCTCGATCTCACTCTAAAATATTCTATTTAAAAATAAGAATGTCTCAAATAGACGTGTGCTATGATAATTTTTAATACTACTTTTAAATTATAATGGAGGATAAGAAACCTACGACACATTTGTATATTTTCACTCTTTTATTTTTGTATATTTATACTTATAAATTTACTGAAAGAGTATTCAGTCTGAGTTCTTTTTATGTTTTTCTTGGGTCTCATTTATTATAATATTTTATTAAAGAATTTATATTGATTAATATTTTAAAAAAGTAGTGTAATCTAAAGAAACAGTAACAGACAATACGCGCATGATAGAAAAACCTCCTCAATTGGAAAAGAAGTGGCGGTTAATGGGCCCGTGCTTTCCCAAGACCACGAGCAAGTTCAATGAACCCTTGTTTGATTAAGAAAAGACAACTGTCACATGATTGCACAAAAGTTTCCGAATCACAACGTTACATAAAATATGTTTGTTTAATTTAAAAAGATGTTGGATCCCAAATAAAAATTATATCTTCTGAGCAGAGCGTGGAAGAGAGAAAAGAAAACATGGTTTGATAGCACCATAACCAAATACGTCTCTTTTAATTTTGTTTTAGTAACCCCAACCCCAATACTCTATTCTTCAAGGGTTATAATATTTTGACAAACACTCGTTCAATAACCCATTTTTATATTTTTATATTATTATTTATTTATCTATTTTATTTTTTCTCCATTAATTAAAAAAATATTTTAAGATTATTTATGGGATGTTTGGTGTTAACAAATCTTTTGGCATTCTTCAATCCCTCACCTAAACCCTGGCACGTATCCATATTTTGCCACAATTCATGCAGCACCCTGTCAGGATCACTATCCATTCAACTTTCAACTTGGTAACTCATGGGTTTCTCGGAACCAAGAAGCAGAATCATTTAGTAAGACCAATATGCTTCATGGCTATAACATCACTAGTGAATTAAAATGATAGAAATATATTCTTTCTAACCATTTTTTGCTGTTCATATTGCCAAGAACCCTAAACCCACTCACAGTCAGAGTGAAGATCAAAAGTGACTTCTTGTTAATATTATATTGTTTTTATTTTGCTGCTGTGTATAGATAAAGGGAGAAGGAAAAGAAAATACGAGTAATACTGGTTGGTTTGGTATTCTAGCGAGGTAAAAGAATCCCACAAGATTACAAATTTTTGGAAATTCATTTTTATTTGATATAAAATTCCAATTCATATTTCGATTTGAATAAAAATAATGAAATTTTTATTGAAGATGAGATTCAAACATGGATTTTAATAGGAGAAAAATAAAACATGGATTTTAAATTATAATACATGGATTCAGTCACACTGAAATCTGAATGTGCCTTCAGTTTTACCAAACCAAGGTAAGAAGTAAATAAAGCATTTGCTGGTCATGTTGCTTTAGGAATATTTTCTCATAGAAGAGAATATAGCGCCACACCAGGTCACTATATAAGCCCTTTGTTGATCATGCATTTGTGAGTGAGAGAAAGTGTGTTTGCATTTGCTCTCATTACACTTTGATTCTCTGCATACTCTCTAATCCACCTGCAGTGCCATCATGAGCAACCTATCAGACATTGGAGAACATTTAGGGTACAGAACCAACTCCAACAAAAACCCATCAGACATTGGAGAACATTTAGGGTACAGAACCAACTCCAACAAAAAACCATCAGACATTGGAGAACATTTAGGGTACAGAACCAACTCCAACAAACACCCAAACCCTAAACCACCTCATGAACGCCATGTAGACAGCCTCAGCCACCACCTTGGATACGCTGCTCAGCCATCAAAGACAATTAAGAAACCGGATATCACTGCTCCAAACGCCAAACCCACACACGAGACTGGGTGATGAATGCACACAACAGTTGCTTGTCTGCTTTTACTTTAATGTTATTATGATATTGAGTCATATCTACCCAAGACTCTTCTCTTTACTTGTTTTGGATTCATTGCGTGTCTGGGAAATGTCAATGGAAAGTTTTAACCTTCAGCTCTTTTGTCTTTTTTTGCGCTGATCGTGGTTGTATTGAAAGTCTATCATTTCATCTTTTCTTCTCTCTTTCTCCTTCATGCCATATAGTCCCATACATATGTTCATTGGTAAACAGTTTTTTTTTTCCCTTTTAATGTACAATAACTTGGCATGTTTCTTATCATAATAATACTTTTTTTAATGATATATTTTTATTAGTATATTATATAAGAGTATAATTAAATTATCACATTCTGAATATTTTCTTATAAAATCGTATTAGTATATTAATGTTATGAGTGTACACTAAGTTAAAACAATTACTAATTTTTGAAACAGAACAATATGCCCTAAATTTTAATATATATTAATTTGACAAAGCATGGTAATATTTGTACAATCTATTTTTTATATACAACAATTTATAATCCTCTTATAATAATATAAAAAATTAGTATTATATCATTATTATAAAAAGGTTGTAATATGGTATAAATATATATGAAAAAAATTAAGTATCATTATTCTTTTATAAAATTAAATAGATCCAAGGTGTTCCTAATAACACATAGAAGAAGACTTGGTGACGTTCTATGATTCCATTGTTAACCCTGATTTTGCTCTCCACTATCACGTGAGAAAGACCTTTCCAAATTCTTTATCCGGTTGATGACAAGAAAAGTGGTGCTTCATGGAATCTGCTTTTGCAAGATTGATTCAACTAAGAATGATTTTGGTTTGATTAAAAAAAACAATGCGGCTCTTTTCCTTAAAGAAGAATTGGTTGCTTGGAAGACAAGATAATGGATCCAAATAAAAATTATATCAGTTGAGATGAATGTGGAAGTGAATAAAGATAATAATGGTATAATAGTAATTCTACTATGAATTTCGGAGGGAAAACATTCGTTTTATATTTCACTTAAACAACATGGAGGTTCACATGCCATGAGCCTTTAATAACGGTGTGTTATTGTAGTAGGCAAATATAGGTTCACATCCATCTAACAATTATAATGATATAATTAATACTAATAAAAAATTAAAATTTATGTATATTATTATAACATAGATTTGTTGAATGATTATAAGAAAAAAAATGAGTTGTAATTATCTTAGTACATAGTATTAATATGAAAAAAAGAATAATGTAATAATATAAACATTAAAAATAAAATTATATATATATATATATATTATTTATAAGATTCTTATTCGTATTTATACTAATTAATAAATAGTATTTTTTTTTTAAATTATTCATAAGATTGATAATTAATTACATTATAATATTTTCTATACGTTTAATAAATATTTTGATCAGTTTTTTATTATATTATTATGTGAATTTTGTTTTGGTTTGATTATATATATATTTTTTATGTTGGATCATGTGAGATTTGACACCACATTCTTTCCTTATTTTTTAGAACACACCCATAGAATCAAATGACAAACACATCGAATCTATATAATAGTCGTTAACATCGATGACGGATCTTTTGGGAGTTGAGGGGTCATGACCCCTCAAAGTTTTGTAACTTCTATATAATTTATGATTTTGGTCCCCCAAACTTAATGAACATTTAATATATTTACTTGTATATTTACAATTCTATCCTTTCAACCTCTCCTCAGCTTTGTAACTCTCGGATAATTTATGATTTTGTCCCCCTCAAATTTAATGATCATTTAATATATTTAATTATATATCTACAATTTTATCCTTTCACCCTTTCATCTTCTTTCTTCCTTTTATATTTATTTATTATTTATTAATAATATATTATTTGACCTTCCTAAAATCAATGATCAAGATCCGTCACTGCTTGACATATAAGTTGTGAAAGAATAGTATGATGGAGGAAGAATTGTCCAGAAGCAGGAGAGAAGCAAAACAGGCAAGTCAGTGCAACTTTGAGGGAATTCAACACCTCATCTGACTTTGTGTTGAAGGTTGGTGTTGACGAATAACATGGTCTTTGGGAGAAAAAAAGGCAAAGGAGCAAAAAACACATCATCTTTGATAAGTAGCATCTTTGAAGCGACATATCACTCAATTTACACAATTACTTTACTTTAGAACCTCTTATAGGAACTCAACTTGAGTCATAGTTTAGGTTCATCTGAGGGTTTAAACATTACTTCTTCACTTTTTTGCCTTTTAGATGGGTGCTCTCCCCCGAGTGAAGGCATAAGTCGTAGATAGTCATTGTAGAGGTGGGAGACAGATGTGAGGTCAGTGGAGAAAGGAGGGGATGGTGGCGATGATGAGTGTGTTGTCGCTGTAAAGGAGGAAGATAGAGGTGGAGTCGATGAAGGAAGAAGGGGATGGTCGTGGTGGAACGTGTGGTGTCACGTTAGAGGAGGGATACGAAGGTGGGGTCATACGACTCCATGAGAAGGGGTGGAGAAAAATTACTATGTCACTCTCGTCTTCAATGTGTCTATTCTTTTTGTGCAATAAACCTCTCCCGCCAAAGACTAGTGGTAAGTGGTCCGATAGAGCTTTTAGAGAAGGATAGCTTAGTGTGTAAGCACAACAATTAGTCTGACATAAATTTACGTCGGGTTATAAAGTATTTGATATAAAATCACATTAGTTAGTTATCCTGACATAAGTTTACGTCTTCCGCATTGACATTGGAGTAAATTTCATGTAGATCATTTGCTAAGGTTTAAGAGTAAGTTGAATTTTGTGGGTAGTTACTATGAACTCTACTTTGAACAACTTAAAGAATCACAATAAAGTTTATTGATAACAAAATTGTTAAAAGACGTGTGATGAAGATGTTTAGTGAAGGTGTCAGCAAGTAGAGCAGAGAAAGAAACATGAAGTAGATGTATTAAACCTTGTAGGATTTTCTTACGAATAACATGACATTCGATCTTAATGTGTTTGGTCCATTCATGAAACATAGGATTATGAGCTAGATGAATAACATATTGATTGTCATAGTATACATCAGTAGGATCTAAGGAAAACATAAAAGTCATGAAGAAGATAATGTAACCATTAGATTTTACAAGACTGATCAAAGCTCTATATTCAGTTTTAGAGGAGAAACGAGAACAGTAATTTGCTTCTTTGATTTTGAAAAGATCAATGAATAGCTAAGAAAAACACATAAACCGGTGATAGATCGTTGGACATCAAAGCAGTAAGCCCAGTCAACATCAACAAAGGTTGAGAATCTAAGTTCTAAAGAAGCAGAAAAAAACATGACATGTAATATGGAATAAAAAACATGGCATAATCTAAGGTGTCAAAGAGAGGCATCTTTGGAAACAACATTAATATTATGAGCAAAAAGAAGGTGATATTTGCAATGATGAGGTAACAGATTTATCACATACAATCCTTGGTGCAACCTAGCTGAATCAGTCATCTTCCTAGGAATATTTTGCATAATGACACAAGAATTAGAATAAAAAAATGAGTGACATTGTAATCTTTGAATCAACTTACAAATAGAAACTAAGTTGACATAAAATTTTGGTACATGAAGAATAAAAGAATCAGATAAAACAACAATACTAGAAATAAAAGTAAATACTTGAATATCATTGGATAAGGTAATGAAAATAGGTGAAATAGATTTGTGAGTAACAGAACTTTGGAAATTAAAAGTAATATGGTAAGTGACACCTGTATCCAAAAGTCATTGATGGGTAGTTTTACCTTGAGAAGTAGGAGGAAAGTTATAAGGGATAGAAAGAGAGGAAACAAAATTTGTTGTATGAGAGACATTTAGTGTAGTGGATTTGGATTGTTGCAAAAGTTTTAGAATGTCATGATATTGCTCTGCATTAAAATTAAGCGCTGGTGTTGAAGCCTCTTGAGGGTTTTCTTCCTTGGCCTTTATGGAAAGAACCACCTCTACCTCGTCCACTATGAAAAATGCTCGTATTATAATTTCCATCATTCTTAGGTTATGAATTGTGATTAGTAGTGACCGCTAAAGCTTGAGGATCAATAATAGGGTAAACAAAAAAATAATAGAATTTAATGACCTTTCTTACTAGATTACCATATTAAAAGATTTTAGTAATATCGGAAAAGGGATCAAACAACATAATTTGAGATCTTTCTTCTTATATGTTCGGGTAAAGGCAACAACACCACAAGAACACATAAGGGCACACTTACAGTCAAGGACAAAACTATTGATTTCTTCCCAAATAGTGTGTAACTCGGTGTAAAACTCAACAAGAAACAGATTATCTTGGTTTAATTTATACAACTCTTCATGTAAATCAACAACTCAGAAAATGTCTCCCTAATGAAAACGATGATGAAGATCTTGCCACAGATCAAAAGTGTTTTTGATCCAGATAATAAATTTAAGAATCGATTCATGCATTGATTGTTGAAGTCATGAGAGAATCGTATTACAACAATCCCAATACTCATGAAGATGGTTATTTGATAAAGGTTTTGATAAGGTTTTATCGATGAATTTTAGTTTGTTCTTGTATTTAAGTACAAGCTTTATAGCCTAGCTGGAACATGATAATTTTTGTCATCTAACAAAGGATAAACAAGACAACGACTCTATTTTCATATGAAGAAAAAAAGAATTTGTGTGAAAATTAATATAGGTTCAGAAGCCATAACAATTGAAGAAAGAACCAAGAAATTGAACCATCTTAGTTCCTAGATTGTGTAAAAACATCACATTGTATTAAAGGAAATGAGAAAGACGTTTACAAATAGTGTTTATATAAAACTCTACATAATAGAAAAGAGACTATTAACGGAAAAAGATTGTTACAGAAACTAATGTGTAAGTGTTATAGGAATACCAACTAAAATTATCTATTAATAACATTTCATGTTTGAGGCTCTTTAAATGGCCGTGAAGGATTCTTCTCACTTTATCATTCATGTGTTTTATTTCCTCTACATCTTCTATTAGTTTATGTTTTCCAACCACCACTTATTAATTTTAGATACGTCCTTTATCAACTTCCTGATTATTACTTTGTTATTTAATGATACTTTCTCTTTCCAGTTTTGATCTCTATTTATATTCAACATATGTGACACTACAAAGGTTAGAATATCTTTTTTAAAAACTCAAACATTTTTTTTCTTTGAATGTAATATATTGTTTCCTATGATTTTATATAATATTTGTGTTATATATTTGGAGCTTAAATAAATTATTATTATTGTTATTATTATTATTATTGTATAAAATCTTAACTTGACATTTAAAATTTATATTATATCTAAATTTGAGTTGTGGTAACTACGTTAATATAAAAGTATTTATATTATAAAAATTAATTGAAAGGATCCAATTTCACTAACCTTAAAAAAAGGTTTATTAAAATTATTATTATATCATTATGGTAAAAAGGTTGTAATATGGTGTAAATATATATGAAAAAAATTAAGTATCATTATTCTCTTACAAAATTAAGTAGATCCAAGATGTTCCTAATAATACATAGAAGACTTGGACGTTCTATGTTTCCATTGTTAACCCTGATTCTGCTCTCCACTATCGCGTGAGAAAGACCTTTCCAAATTCTTTATCCGGTCGATGATAAGAAAAGTGGTGCGTCATGGGATGTGCTTTTGCAAGATTGATTCAACTAAGAATGATTTTGGTTTGATTAAAAAAAAAAATCATATTGCGGCTCTTTTTCTTAAAAAAGAATTGGTTGCTTGGAAGACCAGATGATGATGGATCCAAATAAAAATTATATCAGTTGATTTGAATGTGGAAGTGATAAAAGTCGTTTTTAAGAAGAAGAGCCGCGATATGAATAACTATGTTATAGTATTAGGAAAATATAAGTTCACATCCATCTAACAATTATTACGATATAATACTAATAAAAAATTAAATTTTTTTATATTATATTATTAAAAAGAGTTGTTGAAGGATCATATGAGAAAAATGAGTTGTGTTTATTTTAGTCCATTGTATTAATACGAAAAATAATAATGTAATAATATGCATATTAAAAATTTATATTTGATTATAATGGTCTAATATAAAATTATGTTAATTAGTTATTCTTATATAAATTTTCGTCCCTTGTATTTACAGGAAAACTTATGAAATATAAAAAATCTAAAATCACAAACATAAGAAACTTATGCGGTGGTTGATGAATAAATTTCAAGTAAATCATTTGTGGAACTTTAAGAGTAAATTGAATTTTTGTGGGTAGTTATTATGAAGTTTGCTTTGTAAAACTTAAAAAGTCATAATAAAATTTATTGATAATAAATTGAGTTATATTTACTTGACTTATTAGTTTGAAATATTATATTTAAATTGATGATATCTCAATTTAGTCAAATTATTTATCAGTCAAGTTAGGTTTTATAGAAATGTTTTATGAATGAGGATTCTCATATTAGTGGTTTTATATTAATGTTTGATTTCCTCTACATCTTCTTCTTTTGTGTTCTTATTAATTTTAGGTACGTCCTTGATGAGCCTCCTCACTGTTATTTTGTTATTTAGTGATGTCTTCTTTTCTAGTTTTGATCTCTATTTTGGTTTAGCGAAAGTTTGTTCCATTAGGTACGAGTCCACTGGATAAGAAAGTCTCTCTTACTATGTTAGTAATTCCTTTTTAGCAGAAGAGACTCTTGTGAGGGAGGTTGTTATTATTGATTCTAAAAAAAAAAAAAAAAAACTTATTCTTATTTTTAGAACAAGTTGTTTTGAGGGCTTCTACGAAGTGTATAATCCTTTACATTAAGACCCAAAAATGATTTTCAAGGCCAAAAAATACTAGGAAAAAGAAGTTTTTTTTTTTTTTTTCTAACTTTGAATATAATATTTGTTTACTATAATTTTATATAATATTTATATTATGTATTTGGAGTTTATCATCAATTCCGTTAGTAACTAAATGAATTATTAATAATTATTATTATTAGTATAAAATCTTAACTTTAATATTTATAATCTATATTATGTCTAAATTTGAATTGTGGTAACTACGTTAACATAAAAATACTTATGTTATAAAAATTAATTGAAAAGATCCAATTTCGCTAACATTATAAAAAAAGTTTATTAAAATTAGTCCAACTGCTTTCTTATAAAAAAAAATTGTATAGACATAAATTAACCTTGCTGCCATTAAAAAAAAACAAGAAGGTAAGTCTCTAATTTATTTATTTTTTAATCCCAGCGCCCTTTTCTACACTACCCCATTCCTAATCTTTTTCTTCATAAAAATAGTTAAAATAAAATTAAAAATAAAGTTATTATAAATATTTATAATAATAATAAATTTGAAAAAATAAAAGTACTAGTACTAATAACAAAATATTTATTTATTTTAAAATTAAATAAATCTTAAAAAGTTATTTTTACTAATTTTTTAACTAAATCACTATTATAATAATGACTATTAACGACGATTAAATTTAGATAACCATGCCAGTTAAAGAGTCGTCATTGTTTGTAAGGGATACACATATAAGGATGGACATTTGTAATTAACCTTATTGTATATCACATACAATGATGAATATTTAGAAATATACATCGTTGTATCTTATATAATACATCAACGTTTGTTGTCATACTCGTCGTTGAAGCCTTGCGTTAGATATGTATATGATGATGGGTATGGTATTAACCATCATTGTATATTGGTGCTTTTTAAAAAAAAGTGAATATTGTTTTAGGCTTTTTCCCATT